TTTTTTGTTTCCCTCAGGTAGTGCTGTACCTGGCCCAGTCCCTAAAGGGTACATCAAAGTTTACAGCATGAGGTTCTGTCTTTTTGCCCAGAGAGCCAGATTAGTGCTGAAAGCCAAAGGAATCAAGTAAGGCTACTTTTTATTCTGCTTTACTTTATGAATGGAAAGTCATGACAACCCTAACCTTTACTTAAACACGTATGTGCAACCTGTTTTTTGTGTTTCAGGCATGAAATCATAAATGCCCATATGGCAGACAAGCCTGAGTGGTACCTTAAAAAGAATCCATTTGGGATTGTCCCGACACTAGAGACACCTGCTGGTGAGTTGATATATGAGTCACCGATCACCTGTGAATAGTTGGATGAAGGTTACCCTGAAAAGCAGCTGCTTCCTTCTTCTCCTTTTGCTAAAGCAAAGAATGATGCTGGAGTATTTTTCCAAAGTAGGTCACATGGAAACTTGCACATAAATCTTTATATTTTGTTTTTTTAATCACCAAATAATCAGTTTAATGTCACTGTTTTAGAGGATAGGATATTTTTACAGGATCTCATCCGGGAGAAATAATGGTCAGGATGTCTCAGGACTGGAAGCTGAACTGAAAGAAAAGCTTTCCAAATTGAACGAGGTAGGTGACACAATTGATGCTTCTAGTTTCTTTACACATAAACATATAATTTGAAAGACTGTGTGTGAATGAGTGTGCTTGCAACTTTGCTTGCCAATCATAATCACTAATCAAAGGATTATTAAGATTATCTATACTTGGTTATTTTAGAGTATTAAATGCAACTCTAATGAAAGTAATATTCAATTTCTAGGACCTCGTTAACAAGAAGATCAAGTTTTTTGGTGGTGATTCCATAACAATGTTTGACTACATGATGTGGCCGTGGTTTGAGAGACTGGAGGTCTTTGAGCTGCAACAGTAGGTTGTCCAGATCTTGTTGTTCCATAAAGGTTTACCTCTTCCATGTGGACTTATTTTTCTTCCTTTCAAATGAAGAAATAACAGTGCCCAATCTGCAAAACTGTAACACAACTAAAGTAACAGTTTAATATCTAATTTGAGCTTTTCTTCCTTTGTAGCATCTATTGAATATCTTATATTTATTTCCTGTCTGCTGGATGTTTTGCAAACAAATGTGGGTTCACATGCTGTAATTTACTTTTGTCTCCTAGCTGTCTGGATGGCACACCTGAGATGAAGATGTGGACAGAGCGCATGCTGGAAGATCCAGCTGTCAAAGCCACAATGCACAGCGTAGATGCCCACAAGGCCTTCTTCAAGCCCTTTGTTGATGGAAAACCAGACTATGACTATGGCCTGTAGAAGTTTGTGCTGACTGAACAAAAATATAGCTGTCTTTATATATTACTGTGTCAAACAAATCAGGTCTGTTTTCAAAATTCTGATGTGACATGTGTAAAGAGTTAAAGAGTCTAAAAAGTGAATGGGAGTGATTTTCAAATAAAAATTGTCCATGAAATGACTGGCCTCATTCTGAGTTTCCTATTTGTGCTCTAAGATGTATAAAAACAGTTAAATAAGGAGTGATCATTGAAAGGAATTTAATATGATTTATTGCTTTACATAATTCAATTAATCTATTTAGCAATTAGACACTGATGGCCCACCACAGAAGAAGAGCAGAAGTTGAGTGTGCAGGGAGCAGAGATGTTGACAGCAGAAGCGACATACTGAGAGCACACAGAGCAGAGATCTGAGCAAGAGCAAATGCCAACAACTGAGCGAGAATGGCAGTTATTGTGTGTGTATATGTATAATAGCAAACACTGAAATGAATTTTGTTTGCTCAAAATAATTTTGACAGGAAGAAACTCAGGGAAAAATAAATGGCTCATGGTTAAAGCAATTTGATAATAACAAGCTAATAGCTAAAAGGTAACTTCATTTCTACATTGCAACTAAGATGTTCTAGCCCAACAACAGCTGTACGAACCTGATTAAAAAAGAAAAGAACATTTTGATAGACCAGGCCTGCATCTATCACTTAGTGTATTTCGATCTCGGCTATGTTGTCATAGCTGTAGATCCTAGTAGTGTGGATCAGTGAATCGGTGTCTCATTCACTCCTGACATAAAGCTTGATGTCATCCATGTAGAGGAAGTTGCTGACATTTGCTCCTTTGCTTCAGACGTTATCTGTAGCGAGTCTTGTTAATGACTTTGCTGAAGGGGGTTCAGGCCTATGCCGAGCAGCACTTGATGGAGATTTGTGTATTTGGCTTGAGGTTGGCCTGTAGCATTGTTTGCCACTTCCCCATTAAATCCTTGATGAAGGCTCTTATGGTCCTGTTGGTTTTTTACAGTTCTAGATAGGTCAATTGAGATTAAATTAGTTTTCATTTGATGGATATGAGTAAATAGATTGTAGTATAATTTTCAAGAGAAGCAACAAAAAAACCGATTTAAATGTTTTCCTACAGTTTGCTGATGTCATGAACGCAGCACAGAGACGACTGTTTTTAAGCGCTCGGGGCGTTCATAGTCATGTTCACAGGGTTCACAGCTCACGCTTTTGTGACAGGTCCATGAGAGCTCTGGGGTCTCTCTGCTGCAGACTCAGCATCCCTATCTTTATAATTGTGGGGCTTTCGTGGGTGTAGCAGGTTATCGTTGTCTGGACTGTGATGGAGCGCTGGCGTGGCAGAGTGGCTCTGGTGACCGGAGCCTCGGTCGGGATTGGGGCGGCTGTAGCGGTAGAGCTGGTCCGACTCGGTATGAAAGTGATGGGCTGCGCCAGGGACGTCGAAAAGATTCAGGTATGCTATAAAGGGAAAACTTAATTTCTGCATGGAGTAATTTAATGTAAAGATAAATACATTTTGGTTGTTAAAGTTACTATTATGCAGGGGAAAACGCTATTCTTCGTTGATGTTTTTTGTTTGTAGTTAAACTACTTTTGATTTACATCTACAGAGTTTTTATAAGAAGCTAGCAAAAGCCAGAATATTAAAATTTTAAACATAACAGTGAAAATCCTCTTTTGTGCCCTTTGCTTTCTTGAAATTTATAACTCTGTGGTTAATGATTCTTTAAGTTGGCACACAATCCGTCAGCATACTTTATGTAGATGATATGCACTGTTGGTTGTTGAACTTTGAAACATAATGCTGTTGTCAAAGATTAGCCACAATCAACAATCTTAACAAAGTGCAGCTATAGCAGGGCTGGACTTGTAATCGGACACACCTGGCATTTTCCCGGTTGGCCGACACACTTTTGGAGAGATGGACCGGCCAGAAGGGCCGCTGCGCACCGGCGTACAAGCACTGACAGCAACCCATTGGTTCATTTTAATTACTGACACTGGATTGCCCAATAAAATTTCCTTGCTCGCTTGTAGAAAAAGTTAAGGGTGAAATAAGTGTCGAAAAGTTGGAGCTGAAAAGCTGAGAGAAAACAACAGGGGCGAGATAAGACCCTTTTTGGGGTGTGAAGTTTTATCAGAGCACCCCTAAAAATAACTATAATAATAGTAGTATTATCTTCAAATGTTATATTATCATAACTTTTCTATTGAGGACAGAACAGGATAAAATGGAAACAAATTTTATGTCCAGTGTTGTTCTCTCATGATGTTACAGTCTCTCTGTTACAGACTTTAGTTGCTGCCAGAAAGACGATAAAGAAATAGTTTCATGGCACAAATCAGTGATGCAGATTTAAAACACACTTCAACTGAAATAGAGTAAAAGTTCAGACTGTATATAAATCACTAGAGATTATTAGCTAATTTTAACCTTCCGATCCACTAGTCTGCTGGGATATCACAAGTTAAGAAGCTGATGTACTTTATTATTATTTTTGTTTGTTAAAGATTTCTGTTCCTGTTCTGGTCAAATTGGGCTTCAGTGTTTGTGTACATTATAGCTCCAGCTCCAGGTGACAGCAGGTCAAAATGATATAACCTGTCAGCATCTAGCAACAGCCTGCATTCAGTTTAAATATTGCTATAAATTCTTATGGATCAGTCTTTTAATGGCTGTAGCGATTAAATTCATCAAAAATTATAAAGCTGTAGCTTCTGTTTTACCCACACGTCTACTCAGTGTGTTGTCCTGTTATCGTGGATCCCCCTGTTGCTCTTATAATAATTAATTAAAGATTAGATTTTTGTCATTTTCTAATTTCTAGATGAGTGAGGAGGATGGAGAGAGAGAACAGGGAGGTTGCAGAACAAGAGGAAGAATGAGGTGGCAGAAAGTGAAGTTAGTGGAAAAACAAAAGTTATTTTTCACAAAGTAGTTTTTCATGTATTTAATGGATGCTTTCTAGTAAGGTACTGAAAAATGTCAGTGGACATTCTAAACAGAGCATAATGATATGAATGGTAGCATTTTACAGGATTCATACCACTTTAAACATGGCTAAACAGGGTGGCTGGCCGCCACTACATTGATGTGACATCTACAAATCTATTCTGTTCTATTGTTTCAATATCAACAATCAAACAAAAGGGAATATATATATAATATGTGTAGGCAGGATATATACATTTATTTATTCATTTATTTATTTATTTTCTGAGTGGATCATGGCGGGCTGCCTGGACCAAAAATGCCAGGACCATCTTTTTTTGTCCCAGTCCAGCCCTGAGCTACAGTGACATCTCCCAAGAATAAATTAAGAGCTTGAATTAGTAAAGTGGGTTTTTTTTTTAATTTCCTTGATAAAATGCATGAACTGTTTGAAACATACCTCAAGACAAAACCAGACAAAATGCTTTTGCAGGCATCATCCCATCATCATGTGCCTGCTGTTACAAAATCATTAGTAGATCCATGAAAGAAGCAAAACTCAAAAATGGGCAGAACATCCAAACACAGGCAACTGTTTGTGGATGATATGCAAACTGGAAAGTCAAATCAGTGAATTTACAGTAACTTAGTATATTTGAATAGTAGATTCATAAACCTTAAAAACACAAAGTGGATTCTGAAGTCTGTCATCTTTCTCTTCTTGGTTTCAGAAACTGGCAGCAGAGTGTCAGAGTGCCGGCCATCCTGGTGTTTTGGTGCCTTTCAAGTGTGACTTGACCAAAGAGGAGGAGATTCTGGCCATGTTTGCAGCGATCAAAGAGCAGCACAAAGGCGTGGACGTCTGCATCAACAACGCTGGCTTGGCTCATCCAGAATTGCTGCTAAACGGCAAAACCAGTGGCTGGAAGAACATGATGGATGTAAGAGCTCAGAGTTATTGTAGAAATATAATATTTGTTGTAGCGTTTTATCAAAAGTAACATTCACAGGAATAATGTCCCAGCAGAACTTTGAACTGTAAAAAAGTGAAACATGTCATCATCTGTCACTGGTTTTAATATTGTAGCTGATCAGTGTGCATTAACCTCTCAGTGACTCCAGCTCTTAAACTGACTCATTAATAGTTTTTGAAGCTGCTTATAACCGTTTTTCGCCCACTGTGTGCAAGAAGCAACAAGTAAGTGCATCAACCAGAATGTGCTGATTCCTGATATTTTGTTTTCTGTTTTTTTTTTCTTGCAGGTAAATGTTCTTGCTCTCAGTATCTGCACACGCGAAGCGTATCAGTCGATGAAAGAGAGAAATGTGGATGATGGACACATTGTAAACATAAACGGGTTCGATATTTTTATTGGTGATATCAACCTGTATCATTATTATTATTAACATTAACATTATTATGTTTTCACTTACAGCAAAGTCACATTTTACAAGAGGGAAACTACCAGGTGGCTGGGCCTTAGCTTATGGGGGTCCAAAAGAGCTACATCAACAGCAGAGGCCATAGTTAGTCAATTCTGGTCAGGGGCAGAGACCCTGGCGGTCTGATCCCCGTTTGCCAAAACTGAGAATTTTTTGCCAAAATTCTCAGATGGGGCTAGTGCACAAGATTAAAACATACTGACTCAGTCTAGTC